CCGACCCTCGGCACCGTATGTAATACGCATGCGCGTGTATTTCAATAAATTATTATCGTTTTTCCGAACAACGTTCTTCCTACGACATTTACTATTTCTGCGTTCGCGATTGTGTACGTTATTTATTACAATACCGTACATTTATATCTATCGGTCATTGACAATACGATTATACAACAATATTTCATTTCATAACGCGCGAATAATTATACGACGGATCTGCGCGGGCCTGTATAGCGAGTGCCCGTAACGCCCCCCCCCCGCACCCCACACTCTCCGAGAACGGAATATTATCTATTCACGTACATATCGTAATTATGTATCGACGGCAACGCGCGCAACGTGTTTCTCGCCCGTAAGGACCTGTACGAGCCTGCACGAGTCGGTCTCTTGGCCCCCTACCATTGGCCCCACACGCATTTCGACTAGCGAGTAAACCAGCACGTTCACAACAAAACCGTTGCACGTCTCACGGTCGTAGCGTCAAGCCGTCCGACACGTTTCTCTAATTACGAACGTTTAGCGTTTTGAAATATTTTCACAAGCGATTGAATACGCCGTTCAAAAAGTATGAATACGCCGCACCGGCATCACCTCCGCATCTCACCGGACGTTCATCGTTCACTATAAACGTGCGATGTTCTGCGAAATCCTATTTTCTAGAGTTGTTAACTGTAAAAGGCCTTCGCGGTTCAGTAACGCTCTGCGTCCGTCTTGAGTTTTCGACTCGAATACGCTGACGTTTTCTCCTTTATATACACCACACTCGAAAGTATCGTAGTTTCGGTATACGAAAAAACATTTTTTTTTTTATATGTCGGCGGATTCAGCAAAAACGACAGTATATCTCCCATTAATCGGTTAATACGTTGAAAAAACTCGACGGTGATAAGTATGTGTCTCGAAGGCGTGATTATAAGTATGACTACGCGTTGAGACGGATCAAGCCCCACGTGTAGAAACATGCGCGAGGGGAAATCGATAGCGAACGATGAACGTTCGGTGAGATCCGGAGGTGTTAGCGGTGCGACGTATTCATACTTTTTGAACGACGCATTTAATCGCTTGTAAACACATTTCAAACGCTAAAAGTTCGTATTTAGAGAAACGTGTTGGACGGCTCGATGCTAACTTGATGCGGACAGATTTTTTTTCAGGCTATTAAACCGCCGGCCACCCGGGTGGCCGCGGGTCGGGGGTTCGGTTAGGTTTTCGTTCGGCGCACCGCCCGCGGCCGCACCAAAGTTCCGGGCACGCCCGCGTGCCCGGACGGCGAAGTTCGTTACCGGAAAAACGACACCCGCGTGTTTTCGGTCGCCGTCGGTACGGCAACAGTGTCACGCGTGCGGGTTGCGTGCGCGCGCGAAATCGGTCCGGCCGACACCGGACTCGGTTCGGCGGGAGCGTTACGCGCATAAATTACGGACGAGTAGAACGGGTTTTTCTGTTTTCGGTACGCGTGCCGGACGATTGCGTCCGTCGCGTTTTACGGACGCATCAAAGTGCGTCCGCTTTCCGTCGCGGTTCGTACGGTCGCGCGGATTTTTCCCGATTTCACATTCACCGGCGGCGAACGAGTCGGGCGATATCGCCACCGAGCTCCGCGCCGTCCGGGAAATGCAACGGCTCAATTGAGTGGCCGTGTCGGTCGTCCGGGAAATGCAACGGCTCAATTGAGTGGCCGTGTCGGTCGTCCGGTCGGGTAACCCAACGTAACCTATCCGGTACGGCCGATTTTCCCCCCAGGCCGTACGTTTTAGCCGAATCGCGGAGGGCCGACCTATTGGTTTTTTTATGTCCGGCGAACGGGTAGTATTCTACCCGTTCGCCGGACATAAAAAAAAAAAAAATAAAATAATATCGGCTTTTTCGGATCCGGCTTGTAAATGTGCATTTGGCCGGCTGCCGGTGTCGCGAACGGAGGCGCGTTCGAGAACCGCCGAACGATGCAGTTCGTATGTTGTTTTTTTTTTTTTTTGATTTTTTATTGTTTATTTTTTTTTCGCACGTTAAATACCTCGGTAAATCGGTGACCGCGCGAACGGACATTCTACGAAACGGTCGCTTCGCGTGAAAATAGCGGTGGGTACCCCCCCCCCCTCCCCCCGTATGGCCCAGTCACGTCTACAGAAAATAGCCATGCGTTTATAACGGAACGGTTTTTTAACGCGCGTTGGAACATTACGCGTATTACTGTAAATTACAAAGGCTAAAAGATGATTGCGACCAATATTATTGTTTCATTTTTGTAGAACATAAGTTATTATTATTTGTACGGCTAAACTGTGATAGCTGTCTAATCCAATTTGAGGGGAGAGAGTGTCGGGGTGTGTGCGATTTTCGAAAATTTACAAGGGGTACGTAGAATAAAAAAAGGTTGAGAACCACTGGTCTATAGAACTCATGAATTGAACAATAAAATATTGTTCGTTTAATCTCTTTTTTTTTTTTTTGTTACTATATTGTAAAATAGATAAACTATCGCGTCGTTAACTTTTATTTGTAAACGTTATACAAAAATTACTTTTGTTTAAATTGTTTTATTTAATCGGTTCGCGAGAGATACGATCGTCTGTTTATTGTAATTGTATACTCATTATAATCATATATCGTAAAAATATTACAACGTTGTAGAGCGAATATTAAAAATTACGTAAAAAAAATACTTTTTCACTATTGATATCTCAACAACAGCAGTTATAAACAGATTTATAAATCAACAAATAATTGCATATTAATCTCGAAATTAAACGATTTGACGATGGTAACGATGGTACCTACCGAGGGCGCCCACAAGGGATGCAGCGGGGGACAACTCCCCCTAGTCGTCCAGCAGGTCGAAATAGTTATATACCCGGAATTCAACGTCTCAAGGAGTTGGTGGTGTACACATCAGATACGCCACTGGTCGCACCAGCGTATTAATTTATGTACAAGTGCGTGGGTATTCGAAATTTAATTTTCCTTAGTATATTGAAAACTATTTACGAAATTGACTTACGGGGTTTTTTTTTTCCCCGCGGGACCGAATAGTTATATATTATATAGGTACCTATAGGTTTTAGTAAACCTATAGGTATAAATAAGTATATAACTATGTATTTCGCGAGAAAAACGTCAAAAGTTTTATTCTAGCTGAACGGAACGCCGACATATTTAATGCGATGAATTATTTTAATGTACACCCACCTATAGGTGCATATTAAATTATTATATTATATTGTTGTACATGTTGTGCACGCCGCGATATGGCACGGTGGAGTATTTATAATGTATTATCGGGAAATCTCCCCCCCCTCACCAGGATTTTATAAGACTCGTAACGAGGGATTTTTTTTTTTTTTTTTGCTATCCCTACATAATATATACGTCATAATATATCTGTCGTTTACACTAGTATTTTTTGAACTCGTAATATTTATTTTTTAGGCGAGAAAATCAAAAAGAAAAAAAAACATTGCGCAAGTGTATTTAACGTATTTTTTTAGACGTATAATCGTCAAGTCCTACATAGGTGTAAACGCTGCGATACAGTAAGTTTTGCGAATTTTCTTTTGGGTAAGTGGAACGGGATACAGCGTCCATTTAATAGCGTGCAGCTGATACGCGCGTATCTACAGAAAACGCGTCGTGTCCGGGTAGGTATACTTTTGGAGCTGCAGTTTTATACGGTTTTTTATTTTTTTTGTTTTTTTTCCATTGTCATCATCTATTCGATTCTATTCGATTGCGCGTATTATTTTCGCTGTTTTGACAATTCGTGGCCGTACGGAGCCGTTGTAGCGAGAAAAAAACGCGCCGCTCGTGACACATTAAAAACTACAATGAAAAACGATAAAAAAAAAAAAAAAAAAAGAAAAAAAAAAAAGAGAGAAAATATTTCATTTTCGACCCGCGGGATAGCTATTATTATCAACCCGCACTGCCGCCCCGCAACGACGCGGAACGGTTTCCGTCGGAAAACCGCGAAAACGCGCGGCGGGCGTCCGCCGGGAAATGGAAATCGCCCGCGCACGGAATAATAATTGCGATACCGTCGGAAACGTACCGGGATAAAAAAAATACCGCGGCGAGTGTCGGTGTACGGCGAAAATTGTTAAACGCGAACGCCCGACGGCGGCGCACGGTATTTTCCGGACGTTATTGCGACGCAATAGTACGCGATCATAGTTCCGAACGGCGGCGAAAAAAAAAAAAAAAAACAAACAATCATGACCGGGCGCGAAGGAACGGCCGCGGCGACAACGACGACGGCGGCGGCGGCGACGACGACGACGACGACGGCGGCGGTACACGGTGTGTGTGTGTGTGTGTGTACGTACCGCACGCACATACAAACGCACACGAGGAGACGAGGCGTACGTACGGCGGCGGCGGCGGCAGCGGATGATGCGTGCGCGTGAACGACGCGAAGGGGGCCGGCGGCGGCGTCGACGGCGTTTTGTGGTATAGCGTTTGCGGCGCGGGCGGCGACGGCTCGGGCGGCTGCGGCGGCGGCGGCGGCGTCGTCGGCGGCGAGGAGGGGGCGCCAAAAGTCCTCCGGTCGTTACGTCGGACACATACACGTAGGGTGGTGGCGGTGGGCGCCGTATTTTAACACCGGCGTCGTCGTCGTCGTCGTCGTCGTCGTCGCCGCCGCCGCCGCCGCCGCCTGAGCGGCAAGCGTTGACCGTCGACGGCGGCCGTGTCCCCCACCGACGCCGCCGCGCGCACGCACTCGCAGCGGTCCGCCCGCGAGGAACGCATGCACGCGCACGATCCGGGCGCAACACAACGGGCGGCTATACGCGACGCCGCGCGTACGTTTGCGTCGGTGTGCGGTCGGGGCGCCCGCGCGCGCGCGCTAGTGTGTGTGTGTGTGTGTGCGTACGTATGTTGACGCCGTTGCGTGAAACCGTCGACGCTTGCCGATTGGCCGGCCCGGTCTCGACCAATCCGGACGCGACTCTCATTAACACTCGGACCGGGGCGTCGGTGTTGTCACATCGCCTCCGCCGCCACACAGTCAGTCGGCACCGAGCGCGCTAACCGTTGTCGTCGTCGCCGTCACCGTCGCCGTGTCGTCGTCATCGTCATCGTCGTTGTTTTTAGAAGTAGTGCGAGTCTCTTCTCTTTTACCCGCATTGCACACTGCACAATAAAATTATAGCCGCCGCCGTCTACACGCGTATTCGTTTCGGTGTTTTTTTTTCCCCTCTCGGTTTTCGACTATTATTCTCGCCGTGTTTTCCGTTCCGATCGAAACAACGGCAATATTTCACACTGTACCCGTCATTAATACGAACCTGACGCGGTCGATCGAGCCCGCGCGCTCGCAGTGTGCCCGTGCCCAAATCGTCATTATTCCGATCGTCGCGAAATAATAATAATATTATTATTATTATTATTATTATCGTTATTATTATCATCGTTGTTCACACCGCCCTTCGCGTTGCTGTTGGTTCCGCGTTTTTCGCGCCCGTCGAAAATCCCGCGGAGAAAAAAAACGCTTATTTCGTGAATGCTCGTGCAGAAGCCTGGTCCACCGTAGTGGCCGGGGCAAACGGTAGCGGCGCGGACGGCGTGGCTGTTATGCGGTTCGAGCAAGCGGACCTCAGGTGCCGGTCACCCCGTGGGGCGCCGGACACCCCGCAGACAGCGGCCGCGATGACCGGCGGCCAACGTTCACCCGACACATCGTACACGGCGGCCCGCGCGTCGTCCACCGACTTTTCCGTCAGCTCGTTGCTGACCAACAACAACAGCAACAGCAACAGCAACAACAACAACAACAACAACAACAACAGCAGCAGCAACAACAACAGCAGCAACGGCCAGCAACAGCAACAGCAGTACCCGCCGCCGCCACCGCCGCCGCCGCCGCCGGGCCTTTCCGCGGCCGCGGCCGCGGCCTACGCCATGGGCGCGGCCTGTTACCCGGGCACCATGATACCCATGCCCAAGATGCATCACGCGCCGCACCATCCGAGCGCCGCGGGTTACCCGGCCGAGGAGATGTTGGCGCTGGCCGCGGCCGTGGCGCACGGCGTCCACCATCCGCACCCGGCGGCCTCGCTACCCCGGTCGGTGGTCAGACCCGAGGACGACGGCGTGGTCGACGATCCCAAGGTCACGCTGGAAGGCAAAGACCTGTGGGAAAAGTTCCACAAGCTCGGCACCGAAATGGTCATCACCAAATCCGGCAGGTCAGTAAAAACCGTCCGAGGCTATTTATATCGTTACGATTCTTTGTTTATTGTTCGATATCGATTTACGCCCGGCCGTCATAGCGCGCGCACGATTTCGCAACAATTGTCGTATTAATAACGCGTTCCGTCGTAGCGTCGTCGCGAATGTCGCGACGCTATTACGGTTCGGGTTTTTATCGGTCTAATTTTATAACGGCCCGTGAATTTCCGCGAAACATCCGATACCGGGCGGGCGCGCACGCGCGTCCGGGTTTCACCACCCCGCGCGAGCGTTCCGAAAACCCGTCGCAGTGTTCTCGCGCCCGCGACGAACCGAAATTTTCGCCTCGGCCGTCGACGGGTCGGCCCCCGGCCGGACCCGGCGACCGCGCCGCGTAACAATCACGTTCCGTGTTGTTACGCAATTGGCCGGGCCGTTTCGTTTTATTTCGGGTATTGCGGTATTCCGATAAAATATTTATTGTCGTCGTCGATTCGAAACGCCTCCGCGATAACAATTGCCCGTCCGCGTTTTCGCGATTATTCGCCGACCGCCGAGTTGCGGCGGACATTCGTACGATTCCCGCCGGGCCGCGGTACGAAACGGTCCCGGCGGATTTTCCCGCCGCGGGTTTGCCTGCCGCGGCGTTGTTGACGGGTGAACAACGCCGTTTGCCGCGCGCAGTTCGTTCGCCGTCCGCGGCGCGACGGTACGGTGAACGGCGAGCGGAAAACGTGCGGTTCGTGCTTTTTTCGATGTAACCGCGCGGTGCTTGAAACGGTACTTTCCGTTTCGTCCCGATCGAAAGCTAAGATCTGTCCGTATATTATGAAAAAAAAAAAAAAATGACGAAATATTATTAATAAAAATTATCAAAAATGCGTAAAAAAAACAAAGCAAAACACCGCCCGTTTATCCTCCGCACCGGTTATCCGCTAAACTGCAGACGAAAACAGCAATCAAAAGTTGTAAAGTAAATAAAAAAAAAAATAAAAACTTACCGGCGCATATATAAATCTTAGACCTAATTATCAAATGACGTTTTTATCTTATCGCAATACGCACAGGAATACGTGTAACGAATATTGAAACGGACGTACCGGGGGCGACGGGCCACCGTTGTAGGCGAGAAGTAAAATTGATTCGGAGCGAAGTTTCTGTTGCACGCGCGCATTTACCCGTTTGTCCTACGTTTTTGCCCGAATATGAAAATCGGGGGAAAAAAAAAACGATCTCCCCTAAAATACGCCGAGAAGATTGAGATTACCTTTCGGAAAAGGCGCTAACGCCTTATACGTGGGGGACAAAAGGGGTTTTCGGTAGAACAGTCGCAAGCAGAAAAAATAAACAAACCACAATAAAAACATTGCTCCTCGCGGTGGAAATCATTTTTTTCGCCACGACTCTCTCGATTAGATGGACACCGAAACAAACGCATTTTCGTCCGTCAGCCGGACGTAGACGCAAACTGGTCGAGTAAAGAAAAATGCTCCCCCCGGATTGTGACGGACAATGGACCGCGGTAGTTGGCGCGGAAAATCCGTTTCGAACAGTAGCCGGTATTATTATCGCAACGTACCGCCGCCGGGGCGGACTCGTAATAAACAATACGAGGGCTATAAACGTCGTACGTTGACGTATAGACACTGAAAATATCGCCGTTCCGTGTAAAAAAAAAAAAAATAATCGATTTAAACGAAAACGTTTCGGTTTTCAAATTGAAACGTTTGATTCTGTACTGATTCGCGACGTTCTGGCGTTCGCGGCGTAGTTTCTCGCGTGTCAGCCCCGCACTTGCCGTGTAACTAGAAAATCTTCGAAAACGCCTGTAGGAAAACGCTAACTCACCCCCCTCCCCCACCCGAAAAGAAAAAGGAAAATGAAAAGGAAACGGTTTTCACGGTTCGCCACGTTCCGTCGTGTTGTTGTAAATTTCCGTACGGTTTCCACCCGGAATTCTCCCCGTACATTTAACGCGTGTGTGCACCGTTACCGTATACATTTTGCACGCCGATTTCTCCGTTCGAACGGTGTGTGAAACCCTATCGAAAAACACCGTTGTAGTTTTCCGTTCTTCGTCTTCGCGGGGCGCGTAACGAGCGACAAACGTCGCGGCGCGAAACGTTAACAAATATTCGTCGTCGTGTCGTGTTTTTTTTTTTTTTCTCTTCCCCCGTTCGTTTTCCGACGGTAATTATACTATAATATTATTGTAACGTTGGCGCCAGACGACGATTAAACCGAAAAAAAAAAAAAAAAAACGAAAAAAAACGTTATTACGGGCGAGAGACGACGGCCGCGCGCTTGTCCATTATGACGGCGGCGATGACGACGACGGCGGTGATTATGTTTCGTTGTTATTTTATTATTTCGGCGGCGGCGGCGGCGCTACCGTTCCGCCCGGTACCGCGATAACGCGTAACGCGCGGTACGGGACGCGCGCGCCGCGGTTTTCGCCGGATCCCGCGGCCGAACCGAAAACGCGCGCCGCTGTTGTGTCGTTGTTCGCCGAAACCACCGGCGGGCGTTTTGGGGCGGCGGCGCGATACGTTGGCCGCGGTCGAAAGACAACGTTTTAAAACACGCGTATAAAAAAACCCCGTCATATATTCGCCGCGGCCATCGTCGGAAACGGCGTGCGCCCCGGGTACGCAGTCGTGCGCGCGTGTCCGGTGGACGAACAATAACCGCGAGGAAAATCGCACCGGACGGACGGCGATACACGTCCGACTTTGGCCGGCCCGCGTTCGTCACGACACCCGGGGAAACGCCGGCGCGGGTATTGTCGCGTTTAACGGCGTTTGAATAAAAAAAAAACGAGAAACCGCGATCGGGAAAATATAACAGGAAAACGGGCGCCGGAAAACACCGACGACCGGGGGCTTTGCGCGCGCGCCCGATCCGAGTTCTTCCCGAGTTGCGGTAACAACCGGCGGTAACATTAGCATAATAAATAATTTGTCGGCGAATTATTTTCGATTTTATTTTTTTTTTCTTTCACAACGAATCCGATTTTTCCGGCATTTCGTAGCGGCGGTGCACCCCCCCACCACCACCTCACACCTCCCTATAACATCGTAAAGCGCCGGCGGCCGTTCCTTCCGGTCGTGGACGCGGGAAAAATTGACATTTAAATATTCCGGCGCGCGTTGGCCGGGTGCCCGGTCCGTACGTCGTTAATATATATTGCCGATCTGGTAGTGTCGATATAACGTAATTTCGGTTATCGCGTGTTTCACATACAGGGCGATTCGCGTTTAACGTGGTTCGATTTATCCGCGGCCCAGAACGTTTCGCGCAATTTCGACTTTCCGTCGCGGGGGCACTGTCGCGCGGCCTTAGAAAAAAAAAAAAACTCGAGTTTCCGTCGGTGACGTCGGGGTAAACGCGTTATCACACACGGGATGATATGCGCGCGAACGTGAATACGATTCGCACCCGATTTACATTCGTCAACGGATTTCGTGACAGCGGTTTCGAACTCCCGATTCGTAGCGAACGACGATCCGCCCGTATGACTGCGGCTCGTGGAACTACGGGCCCGNNNATCCCCCCCCCCCCCCCCTCCATTAATCACGCCCCCGGCCCTAACAGCGTGATTGCCGCTACCAATTCGTCCGTCAGACGCGGCGAAATCCAAGCCGGTCGAACCGGCGCCTCGTTCCCGGGGGAAAAACCCGCCGAAAACCCGCCCGTCGCGTCATCGGCACATCAGAAATCGTCGTACGGCGATCGCTCCGTACGCGTGTCGTTGCGATCCGGCGAACGGAACGCCGACAGCTGGGCGATTTCGGTTAACGCCGGACCGCTGCGCGCGCACACGCGCACACGCACACTTCTAAACGGCCGTCGTGTGTGTCGGTCCGCGGCGGGCCGATGAAATCGACTCGGCGAGAATTTACGACCCCGTCGCCGTCACCGGGCGACGCGTAATCCGCGAAACGGGCGCCCGTCTTGGATAATTATCACGCGTAAATAACACGCGGTTCCCGCGATAATGTTGTAATTATTATTCGCGACCGTTTAACATAAAAACATCGTTTAGCCGTTTAATCGTTTTACGCGGTCGCGGTGTGTAAAACGCGCGGCCGAAACGCGCGCGTTATTATTTTTATCGGACCGCTCTGACGGAATAAATTATATAGAAACGTGGTAAAAAAAAAAAAAAACAACAACGGCGCAATTCAAACATCGCGTCGATTCGATAACGCCGACGTGTACATACCGCGGCCCGCGCGAATAACAATAATTACCGTATAATTACCGTATGATATAGGTGTAAGTGTTTGTTTGCTTGTTTTTTTTTTTTTTATTTATCGTTCGGATTTAGTAATAGTCTTTGTTTTGTTTTTTTTTTTTTTTATCCCCCGGAACGGTGTCGTGTCCTGCCGGCGTTTTATTCGCGAGACAATAACGTTTACAAATGCCGGGGAAATTGTCCAAGTACGTCGTCTCGCAGGCCCGCAACGTCGGGGTTTCGGGCGATTCGTTAATTCTGCACGAGCGTTTTGCGGTTACAATGTCCCTATCCCCCCCCCCCGCTCGTTGATCGTACGCGTATACCGCCGGCGGCCGGTTACCTCGTGTTGAAATTGAAATACCATTAATCGAAATTACGACCGGCACAGATAAAAACGGTCCGATAACAACAGTCGGACGATTCGCGCCGATA